GTACGTACCTTCATGTGGCAAAACTTTCGTATCACTTAGTCATTTAACAACGTGAAGCGCTGCTATTTTTTTCACTTGGGCTTCCCTATGTGTGGTCACATGACCTTTCTTTTTACGGTCACATGGCCACTGCAGTGTCAGCGATTGGACTGCCTGAAGGGCACTACAATTGGGCCCGCGTTGCAATCAGGTTAGTTTCAGCGTCTTGAAAGCCAGGATTATACAGTTGCAGCTACGTTGATTTATAATTATGCAACGTGCTGGTCCTCGTCAGAAAAGAAATGAACTTGGGATGACTCCTAACCCTATATAGACTTCCGATACTTTTAACGCCGTTTGAAGCATTTTGGTGGCATTTTTTTTCATCAGAAACTTCAAAATAAGTGGATGTAATGGTGTGGGCATTGTTCGAGTTACGGTGGTATTTTTGTACATAAAACTGTAAGCCTTTTAACCTGTGACGTACACAGCACTGATCTGGTCCGCACGTGACACGACCAGTGCTTACCATTTGTGCACGCCACATGCGTTCCGCGTGTACGTGGTCAAGCAGCATCCGGGACATTTCCTTTGAGCGTTTGCAGGTGCGTGTATCATGTAGGTGGTTTGCAGCTCTGTTCCCTTTTCTGACGTTCCCGTGAAGATTTGTTTTTCTGTTTCGTTTCCCATAAAAAATTTGCAAACTGAAGGTAACAATTTCGTTTGATAAAAAGGTAGGAGAGATTAACTCTGACGTTTAGAACAATGTTCTGCTTGCTTCCTATGTACCAAAAAGAACCGTGTTTCGGGTACATGATCCACCGGTTCGCGCGCAATGCCATTTGTTATTAGGCGATCTCTTTTCCGGGTACCCGATGTTAACAAAAAACGGGTACCCGGTTCTAAAAATACCCGCAAATGCACACCCCTACATGTTATTACAGAATCTTATTAGGACCCCTTCATGCTGACCTTATACATGTAATCTGACACTGGATGTGGCTTCAAGGAAGCACAAAACATTATGGGTATGATGTCTTACAGGGTCCAGTCCACTAATTCAAGCCCCATTGAAAGCAGTGTAAAATCAGCACTGTTCAGGGCCCATTAACATACATACCAACATCCCTGAGATTTCAGAAACCAAAATGAAATTATTGTCTAGTCCCTAATCTTTCAATTTCTTTTCAATTTTTTGTGGGTTAACCAATTACATTTTTAATTATTCCCACAAAACAAAATCACCCCCTGAAAAGTAATTTTTCCGAAGTCCGATTGCAGCCATTTTTCAAGTGGCAACCCTCAATTTTCTCGGGCACTTACGACCATTTTTCAACCGTAGTTTTCAGCCATTCTGCTCTCATATGAAAACTCAAAGACCCAGGGAGTTGATCCTGGCAAGGATTTACACAATCTCACCATTTTGGGGGCCAAACAATCTCCTTTTTCAGAAGATACTGTGGGGACACTTTAAATGCTAATGAGCTGGCCAGAAATTCTCACTTGAATTATTGGTCTGCACCCTTACTTTTATGGGTGTGTGAATGGAAAACTGAGGTCACAGGCATGACAGGGGTATACCCGAGGTCTCTGACCCATTTACTTGCAAATTTAATTCCCTGATCAAAATGTAAGCTGTCATCCATGAGGGATTTTTCGGCAACATAAGCTGACCAGGTCATTCGTCCACAACCAGATTAGCCCTGTGGAACATACCAGTGTTACCATCATGGAAGGTAAGAACAACAAATGATTGAAATTTGGCAATTTTGACAATTTACGAGCTGTCTGCACTAGATTTAATTTTGTCAAATTGAAAACAGTCTCTGTCAGTTCAATGCAAACATGGCTTTCGATAACACATGCAAACTGATGTACTTGGTAAAATTTCTTAAACACCCTGGTGGGTCCAACATTAAAAAATTTCTTACTTCAAATTTCTTCAAACAAAAATGATCTGTGATGTGTACTGTATGTTCTTTATCTGTTAGATGCTACTTCTTTAAATGGGAAGTGGTGATGATTTAAATACTAAAAATACTGGCATTAAAAATATTCTATTTGTTTTTTAATTTAGAAATCTAATTTAAAAGAACATAATCAGTAGCACTCTAAATATACCAGTACATGTACATACTTCAACTTTGAACACTGAAATGTCATACAACAATTCATCTTCATAGACCAGCTAGTGACCCTTACTTTCTACTTACTGTTAATTTCGTCAATTTTTTCCTGAGCTTGTTGAAGCTGTTTGTCAACATCAAGTTTAATCCAAACTTCTGACAAAATGGCCTCCACCTGAGCTGGCAGCTCATGATCATTCCAGTGACAAGACTCATCCATTATACCGGTAAATGAAGATGTTCCTGAAGAATAAAATGTACATAAACATGTAATATACACTCGTAAAAATGCATACAGTGTCTTTGCATTATTATGAGCATCAACCTGACAATCTTGGGCAGTACTTGGCTTGTACTTCCTCAGGTAGAGGATTCTGTGTTTTGTTTTCTGTAGACTTGATTCTGGTAGCCCCAATCAGATGCACAGACACTGTAGACCCCTTGTACGTGTACATAACCTCTAGTAGCACACCAACTTGAAGTGTAAGACTCCCTTGTACATGTACATAACCTCTAATAGCAAACCAACTTGAAGTGTAAGACTCCCTTGTACATGTACATAACCTCTAGTAGCACACCAACTTGAAGTGCAAGACTCCCTTGTACATGTACATAACCTCTAGTAACACACCAACGTCAAGTGTAAGACTCCCTTGTACATGTACATAACCTCTAGTAGCACACCAACGTCAAGTGTAAGACTCCCTTGTACATCATGTACATAACCTCTAGTAGCACACCAAC